CTTGCGTTTCCACACCCGCGTCTCTCCGTGCGCTCCCGTGACGCGGTTCTCAAGAACGGCTCTTTTCGGCTTTCGTTTGGTCCGCGTGCCGCGCTGCCGGCGCCGCCGTCCTCTCCCACGGAAGCGCCCTCCCTCCCCGTGCTGGGCTGTTCCGTCTTCCCCCTCCACGTCTGTGCTTTGTTTCCTTTTTGGAAAACACACTGGAGGTGGTGAAATTTCCCAGGTCGGTTCTGACTCTGGCCGAGATTTCAGCCGTTGTCTCGCTCGGTGCGTCCGAAGTATTCTCGAGGCTCTGACTAGGCGAAGCTCCGCCGTCCTCGGGAATGTTGTTTGTTTCCACTTAGAAACGAAACAATCCTGTCCTTGCGTGTTTCTTTCAAAAGTCATTGTTCTTTCAGACAACACTGCCCCTTTGGAATTTGTTGTTTTCTTGGTCGCTGAAGACACTTTGAGAATCGCCCGGCCGCTCAGAGACGCTATTGCGCGGGGGCCGCGCGCGGCAGCGCCCGCGGATGGTTCTCACGAGGAGTCAGGCACCGCTGCCTGGCGCTGCTGCGCGTGTGCTGCGTGCGCTCTGGGCGAGCGTCCCGGGCACATTTATGCCCGCCCGCGAGGGTGAGCCTGCGGGTGCCGCCCGTCTCGCTGGGGTACCTCCACGGCCAGTGCAAGGGCGCGTGCGCGGTCTGCTTGTTTGCATTTGCCAGACCATCTTCTTCTAACTTTATTTTCCACTCTTCGGTGTCCTTGGGTAAGAAAGCGGCCGGGCGAGGTTGCAGGCCCTTTACTTCGCCCCACCCGCGGGGCCCAGCACCCAGCTCTGCCTTCTCGGCCACGCGCCCACCGCCCGTTTCAGCCCGGGCTCCAAGTTTCTCCTGCGTTTGATCTTATGCCGGGCCCCCCGCATTCGCTGGCCTCGACCTGGTCAGGGGCGTTCTGAGCCACCACTCTGGGCCTTGACTCCACGTGGAGCCGGAACCTCACGCGAGCAGCGAGCCCAGCTCCCGGCTGACCCGGCGGCTGCACCCACCCGCCTGGCGCGCGGTGGGCTCCCGGCGGAGGGCGCGGCCTGTCCGAGAAGCACCTCCTCGCCTTCGCTCGCGCAGCCCGGCACGTCTCCCTTGCCGGACGCCCACGCGCCCGCACCCACAGCACCCCTACTCCTCTGGAGGGGAGCGGGTGTGGAGACCCCCAGCGCCCGGGGCCCAGGGGCCCTCCTGGCAGGAGGGGGGGCCGGGCTGGCTGGGAGGCGGGTCCCTCAGGCCCCGGGTGGGGACTCGGGGACAGGGGCGGGCTCCAGCACGGGTGCGCCAGGTCCAGCTCCGGTGAGGACGTGCCCTGGCCCGCAGACGTGTCCCTTGCGGTCCTCACCGCGCAGGGCAGGCCCTCGGGGCCCCACCCGGCACCCCGCCTCCCAGAGGCCCCTGTCAGCACAGCGTCGGGGGCCGGGGCTGGACCTCGCTGGGGTCGGCGCCAGACATCACGGGGACAGAGCCCGCGGGTGGGCAGATGGGGATGTTCTGGACGAGCTACAGCTGGACACTGGACAATGAGGCTGTGGCAGGCAGATGTGGGCTTGACCAACTGTAAAAAGGCGACATTTGCCTCG